CCCCAAAACCCCAAAACCCCAAAACCCCAAAACCCCGTTTGTTTAAAACTTATTTGAAGAATCTTATGTAATTATTTAATAAAAATGTGAATGCTTTGCGCCCAAGGCTGATGCTGAGCGGGCAAATGATGATGCCTAGTGATTTGTTGCCCATGCAGAACACTAGGAGCACATAAGAAGTCGTTGTCCAAAATTGGGTATATCTTTTTCTCGTTCTTTTGGGTACTGGTGTCGTTTATACTCCTTTTTACCGCGAAAGAAGTATTTGAATGGGCTGAAGATTACATTGATTGCCCTGAAGGAGGCACCTCGTGATTTGGAACAAGTGCTATTTTCAGAATGTCGTTTGTATTGATGTGCTTTCATATACTAATATTTATTATTGTGCTCCCAAGAATGGAATGATCTGCATATTTCCATGATGGGTGATGGATCAGCAAGTTTTTCTTGATACTCTCAGCCTTCGTTATTTGATTCTGGATTCCAAATGATTTCTTTAAAGGGTACGGATACTTTTCTCTGGTGATCAGTTTTTTCTTTCTGATCTTTCAAGGAATAGTCATCCTCGGGCTCTGATATACTTACAATGATGCAATGATAGCACAGTCTGATAAGAACAACGGATATCTGGTAGCACTAATAGTGTTTGCGGCAATTCTGGCGGTCATCAGTTTAATCTTTATAATTTTAGAATTCGTCTGGTTCCACGAATGATGGTCTAACAACATTTTAATCTTAATTCCGGTGATATTTGCGATAATATGTGTTGTGCTAGTTTTTCTCAAGACAAGAGAGAATGCATCGCTATTCACCACTGCAGCGATGTTGTTATATCTGGTGTATCTGACCTGGACAGCTCTGGCATCAAGGCCTACTGGGAAATGAAACCCATTCTACAGAAAAGATCACGGGACAATCCTTCAGATTCTTTTCGGTCTGATATTCACCTTCTTAACTCTCATAATTCTTGCTTTCAGCAAAAAGGAAGGAGCAGATAACAAAGAACATGTTGAAAATAGACTTAAAAATATGGTCGCTGAAGAAGCAGATAGTGACGATGAGATGGAGAGGACCAATAGAAATGGAGAGAAAGAGAAGGCCAACGTCTTCCCTATCTCTCAATCCACTATAATCTTCCAAGCCTTTATGGTTTTTGTTAGTATCTACTATGCCATGCTTATCACCAATTGGGGAAGACCAACTATTGATGATGATAACTATGACTATTTCATTGATGAATGGGCAGGATTTTGGATAAAGATAGTTTGTCAATGGGTGATGTGTGGTTTGTACCTCTTCTCCCTCATAGCTCCCAAGTTATTCCCTGATCGGGAATGGTAGTGAACCATTTTTGATACACTTATAAGAAGTTACATGTTTCAATACTTAAGCGACCCAGTGGGGTTTTGGGGTTTTGGGGTTTTGGGGTTTTGGGGTTTTGGGG